AGCTACTAGGGGCTCCTGGCATCGCTACTAGGAGCAAGGACGCTACTGGTAGGTGACCTTCACAAACTGCTACTCTTTCACCCAACAGAGAAGCTCGGGCCAGGAGTTTCCTTGAATTCATCTGCATTGGCACCAGGTGACTGTAAGCTTGGCGGATTTCCTTCACTGAAGGGCCACAAAGCATTGTGGAGATGCCATACAGGAGAAAGACCTGCGAGACCAGAAAACGAGACGCTCCCCTCGCGCTGTCCCTAGTAGCTTCTTGTTCGTAGTAGTAAGGCCAGGAGCCCCCAGTAGCGTCCTTGCTCCTAGTAGCGATGCCAGGAGCCCCTAGTAATAGTAGCATGCCTACTAAAAAAAATGTTCTGAGGCCTGCAGGAGGATCACCAAGAACATCAGAAAAGCAGAGTAGCCCAAGCGACAGATCCGCACCCATTGGTTGGCGCTGCCTTGCCACAAGCGGACATAGTCCTGGCACATGGGCAGAAATCTTCAAGCCCTTCATCCCACATCTTACATCAACTGACTGGTCGTGCACACTGGGCGTATCATCCATCGGCAAAGACCCATACTTAACTAAGTAGGGAGGGGGGAGCGGACGAAAAAAAGCACTCCGACAGAGAGTTTTTCACGTTGCTCGCAGCCACTTCACCGCCATGCAACATTCTGCGCCTGCGTCACGTCGGAGATGAGCAAGGCATAGACGTTCCGGCCGATGGGCTTCACGCGCGCGTCATCAGGCACCGAGAGCATACTCTCATCCGAGTCCTGTCAACAAAAAACATGTTAAGAAGGTAATAGCAATGTCTGGTCTGTGATTGCTCCGAGTCGCTCTCGCTCTTTGACACATTCGGACGTCCTCGGCATTCTCCGGGTCAAACTTCCCCCGCCAAGCCATGCTCATGGTGGAGGTCCGGGGCCAAAGCATGTCAGTCGCATGTTTTGAGCGAAGCTTCCGAAGCTCGGAAGTGGGCTGAGCAATTTGTGAATGTGGATCTCCAGTCCAAAAGATGCAAGATAATACAAATCATGATTTGTCTAGTTGCAAATGTGAACTATCATCTTTCAGATCTCTGCTTCTCAATTTCGATGGAGAGAACCTATCAGTCCTTTTCGTTTCATTGGCATGGTCGGACCTTCAACCTTCGACCCTGACAGCTTTGATGGAGTCTAACACTCTGTTTCGAGCAGAAAACGCCACTTGTCGGACATCAACGAGGCACCTCTTAGGCAGAAACTATGCCAAGCTGGACGCTACGAACGGGGCTCCTGCGACCGCAGTTTGGGGCACCCGATGGGCACGATTCCCGTTCAGCTTCTTGTTCCTAATAGCGATGCCAGGAGCCCCTAGTAGCTTCTTGTTACTACCAGTAAGGCACTTGTTACTAGAAGCGATGCACTTGTTCCCAGTAGCTTCTTGTTACTAGTAGTAAGGCCAGGAGCCTAGTAGCGTCCTTGCTCCTAGGCTTCAAGCAAAAGTTCAGCATCCCTGCCTGGGATTCCTGAACTTGAAACATTGAAACCACAAATCACTTGGAGACAAGGGTGCCAACAACATTCATGGCCCTCACCAATGCCTTGATATAATTGGACAGTTGGAGTCAACAACAATGAACCAACAGTTTGACGTTCAGAAACTTTGGAGGTCTTGACGCTTGACTTGACTCGTCCTTTTACGCCGTTTCGAAGAAGATCAGGTCCGCCGACGCGTTGAAGCTGTTGCCACTCTCTCCCTTCTGCAAAATGGGACTTTGCACCTTTTGTTTGTACGGAGTAATCAAGTCCCGACTTGAAAAAATAGGCATTTGTCAAAGCGTGCATTCTAAGAGGATGCAAGAGAAGGTAAGAGACGGTAGGATTTGGTGAAATTCTTTTATAATTCGTTTTTATCTCTCTAAGTGGACTCAGCTGCGTGAGACATTGCCATGATGATCCCACACCAGCGGCGGGCGCTACCTGGAGTATTTACCACTCTCTGACTTCACTAGATCAAACCTTAAATCTTTTACATCTAGAAAGCCCCGCTTCAAAGGTGTCCCAAGCCAGCTCAGATGCCAGGCCCACCGAGCAAGTTGAACCTCGAAGATTGGCGCCACGGAGGGATTCAGAATAAAACACAACATACATACACAACACCAGAACTCTATTGCGTTTGTTACTTTTTTTTCTTGAAACAAGAAGCTACTAGGAACAAGTGCATCGCTTCTAGTAACAAGTGCCTTACTAGTAGTAACAAGAAGCTACTAGTAACTTTAAATAAAAGCGTTTGCGTTTGTTACTTTTTTCTTGTTCTCCTGTACTTTTTTCTCTCTGAAGTGGAGCGAAGCCAAAGTCTTGGACCCCTGGAGCCCAAGACCATCTTCTGACTTTCGCTAAGGCCTGGAACCAGTCATGGCCTACATCACCAAAGAGGTGGTTTCCTCCCTAAACTTCCAAGGCGGAATTCGGCAATCTGAACAACACCAGCCAAAAGAACAGAACATATCCTATCTACTGCCCAAAGGTGTGTGTGGGTCAGCTATCAACACTTTCAAAGTTGGCAACCTTCAAGACGAACTAGTAGCTAGAAGCTACTAGGTTGGAGGCCATTCCTACTAGTAGCTAGAAGCTACTAGGAGCAAAGGGCATCGCTACTAGGAGCAAGGATGCTACTAATAGCTCCTGGCCTTACTACTAGTAGCTTCTTGTTACTACTAGCGATGCACCTGTTACTACTAGCAACAAGAAGGCTACTAGTGGCTTCCTACCCCCCCCGCGCGGCGCGCGAAAAGGTCCTGGTAGATTCCTTTGCTAGTAATTACAATTCTAATTAAATTCTTTTTGTTACTAGGTTGGAGGCCATCGCTAGCAGGTGGGAGGCCATTCCTACTAGTAGCTAGAAGCTACTAGGAGCAAGGATGCTACTAATAGCTCCTGGCCTTAGTAGCAAGAAGGCTACTAGTAACTCTGTTTGCTCGGATCCCAAAGAGCTCGAAAATGACAAGGCCTCGACTTGCTGTTCCTCGGCTCACGCATATCGGGGCGCTCAGGTCCCGCACGGGAACTGGGATTCCTTCGGCTGCTCCTCGGGTCGAGGGAGATGGTTCTGGTAAAGTGCAGTCCGGGAGCCTATGAGCTAGTAGCTTCTTGCTCCTAGTAGTACGGCCAGGAGCCCCTAGTAGCGTCCTTGCTCCTAGTAGCGATGCCCTTTGCTCCTAGTAGCTTCTAGCTACGAGTTTCGGACGAAAAAACAAACAACTTCACCAACCAGGCCCAGCTCTAGGTATCTATCTCTGGGTGAAGAATCCAAAGAGGAGCACAACAGCTCAAGTACGCAACCTGCGTGACAGCAGGGCTTACAAGGTGCATTCATCTTCTGCCGTGGAGAAACACTCACAGCAAAAGCACGGCAACCCGTGTTTTCGCTTGCCACCTGGACTGACAAGACCAGCTGAATTGTTACCCTCTTGGATTCCAATTCCACACCAATGGGTTGCGTGTGACTCTCCAGTTCTAGCTGCGGGCTGCTGGGCATTTGGTGCAACAAACACTCTTGATTTTGGATATCAATCTGAACTTGGGAGTCTATCCCAAATCATGGCTATTAGGTTGGAGGCCATCCCTCTTAGTTGCTATTAGTTAGTTAGTAACTCAAAAGAAGATTGTGTGTTTCCACTAACTTTTGGGTTTCAGTTTCACTCATCAGATCATGGTGACACGAGCCATTGAGCCATAGCTCTTGCAAGGACACACGAACCAGTGACCAGCCAGCAGCAATTCCCAGGCCGCCTGGTCCCATCAAAATGTCTCAGTTTGCTCCACTGATTTCCCCATCTAACGATGTCCAGTCCTTCATCTTGGGCATGCCCTTCTGCGTGCCACCACCACTAGGAAGAGCAGCACCACCGCTCTGGGGCGCCACCCCACCGCCCGCGCCCCTGTGCTGTTGACTGAAACCGTTGAACCAAAACCGTCTCCTCACGGAAGGGAAAAAGAATGGGAAGAAGGAAAAAGAATAAAATACCTAATAGCAATGGCCTCGAACCTACTAGCGATGGCCTCCAACCTAGAGAAGAAGAAAAGAATAATAACAACCAACGACAACAACAAAATGAAAGGCCTAAAAGGTCTACGGTCTGTCAAAAAGCAAATTTTCATATTCTATCAGACCAACTGAAATAGCACTTTGCTTCGTACCAACACAATACAAGTTGTGGCTTGAGCTGACCTTTCTCACTGCTTTTGCCAGAGCGCCAGCACTTCCTCTGTTGAATTGATGATCAATGCAACCTCAAACTCCTCAAATTTTCATGGCCTTACTACTAGGAGCAAGGACGCTACTAGGGCTCCTGGCATCGCTACTAGGAGCAAGGACGCTACTAGGGGCTTCTGTTTTTCCATTGATCCCATCGGAACCCGCCTAAGGAAGACCGGTCTCTTCGCCTGATGCACCAGGTGACACGAATTGCAAACGAAATGGCAACCGGCGGAATTCTTTTCTCGATGTACGGGTTGTCCAACCTGTTTGCCCAAACATGCTTTTTTGACCATACGCAGGAAGGCTGTTGCGGGCTCCTTTTGACCGATGCCCATGTCCGCACCAGTTTCTGCAAAGCCGTCCACTGGACCTCATTGGTGAAGCCTTTCAACCTATCCAGGGTAGGCGTAGGAACCACTTGAAGGCACAGCTTGAAGACCACGTGCCACCACCATGTCATCGGGTTGGCCCCCACCGAGAGTGAAATTCCTAGAGAGGTGCCGAAGCAAACGGACTTCGTTCTGATAGACTTCTACGACTTGTGGAGGTCTTTGATGAGAGCCACCCCGTGTTACGCAAGTTTGGGGGAGTCTGCGCCCTTCCAAGCTGCAGAATCGGAGTTGAGAGACAGCTTGGGAATAAAAGGAAAGGAGACAAAGAAAAACCACCAAGGTCTAAAGGTCTGAAACAAAGGAACACAGAAATACACATAAAGAAAAGAAAGAACAGAATTACAAGATATTTGGACACATAGTTCTCACCTAGGGCATACTGGTAACTCCTTAGGTTGAAGGCCATTGCTATTAGGTTGGAGGCCATTGCTATTAGGTTCTCACCTGGTCTCCTTCATCTCTTCCTTCCCTTCGAACTGCTCCGCCTGGAGCGGCTCTGCATAGCCCGAGGTCTCTGTGGGCACGTTGGCTGGGCCCGGCGCCGGCTTGGTGATGGGCACCTCATTGGAGCAGTGACTCGTTTGACCACCTGATTGGTTTCTCCAGTTTCCGTTTAGAAACAAGAAAAACAACCCGGTTTGCTTTTTGGTATGGTACTTTTCTCTTGAAAAATCTTTTTTCCTTTCATATATGTTTTCTATTCCAAGCACCTCCTTGATTCTTCACCGTGTTGACCGGAGAAGGTTGAGACGAATACTTTGGTCCGTTCTTTGAAATATGTCTCACAGTGAGATTCGCCAGGTCTCAACCTCCAAAACGGACCAAAAAGACCCAGGTGGTTCGGGAATCCGATCTCTTTGGTTTGACGCACCCATCTGCCTTTGTCATGAAACCTACCATGGGTGAGTCTTCATTGATCATCTCCGGTTGCGTCGATGTGATCACCGACCTAGACGACACGAGCAGGCGAGTGAGCCCAAGCTAGAGAGAAGTGTGCGGATGAATGACACAAGCACAGCAAAGCACAGCGAAGCACAGCACAGCACCCTCACTTCCACACTAAGGCAAAGCAGTACGTCATGGAAAACAAGCGTCGCACATGCTCTTTTGCGAGCGTTTGGCTCCATCCGAGAAACGGTGGCGGCCACCAATCGTGGCACGTAGCAGTCACCGCCTAGGAAGCGCACCTGGAGGAGCGCGCCGAAAACAGGCTGAGCTAAGATCACATGGAGCTATCCGGCTACCCATTGGACACCTGGAAAAGGAAGTGTTCTTGAGAATAAAAGGAAGAAAGGTCTAAAGACAAGGCAAATCTTTGTTCAGTTTCCCTACGAGTCTCTTTTCGCTTCGCTTGCTTCTTATCTGACGATTTCGAACGCTTCAAGTGGCAAGCTATCGATTTCTGAGACAAATGGACTAATGTTCTATTCAAGAACTATATAGATGAAATGGAAAAACAACATTCAAATGGCTCCTCACTTTGTTGCATTTCCGCATCCTCCGATTTCAGATGGAGACCACACAGCGGCCTCGTCCTCCCCTTCGATGGCGGCGACGGGCTGGCCACCCGGATACCACTTGTTCTGCACCAGGCGCTGGTGGGCCACCTGCGCAGAGAAAGGACACCAAAAAAAAAAAGTCTCAAGAAGTTTCAACTTTTGAGGTACAACTAAGCAGAGATTTACTCTGCAAAGTTTAACTCTCAGGTTCCACGGGACACCAATTCTGGATCAGCAGGTAGCTTCAGATCTTCCTCTTCAGGTTTCGGCAGTGGGAACTTGGGATGTGCCATGTTGGGCTTCGAGACCCAAAACAGACCCTACCAAACAGGAACGAGCAGAACCAGCATGGCTTCTAACAGCGCTTTCCTTGTCTTGACAGTCACCTAAAGCTACTTGCAACCTAAGCTCAAGAGTACATTGCGCTTTGCTCCTACCCTTGAACTTGATACACTGAAACACATCACACATATCAATTGCAAAGATAGCATTTCATGCTTCTGCACCTCCCTCTGGCTGAAACCATGTGCACCTAGTGACGAAGCTGACCCTAGCACTCGATGATTCTTGGTCGTCAACCAAGTTCACATCGTCCTTCCACTCTACATCTCTACCTGTTGCAAGCCTTAGCGAGATTGCTCCTAGTAGTACGGCCAGGAGCCCCTAGTAGCGTCCGAACGCTCCTAGTAGCGATGCCCTTGGTTCCTAGTAGCTTCTTGCTGGTATAAACAGAACCCCTCTTCTGCATCTGGCCTTCAAATGAACAACATTTGTGTCCGGTCTCGCCTCCTCTTGCACGCTGACGAAGGTCTTCTTTTGCAACACGGCAGTGGCAGCCATGGCCTTGGCAAAGCCCGGGCAGTCGCCAAAATCCCACACACATATCTCGCAACTAGAGTGATATAAGGGGAACCAGCATTTCATTCTAACAGAGCAAACAAGGGTGGTTGCTTGTTTGAGACACACCCAAACAGTTCATGTTGGAACAGAACCAAATTTGCATTGAATGGATCCAAAGCCCAAAGTATTTCCAGGTCTGGAACCCCCTTGAATACCAACTTCAAACCTTCTGGTGTTTGACACCGATCAATCAACAGGTCACCACCTCAACCATGGGATCAAATCATTTTGCTTTTACCACTAGCAAGCCAGATGCTGTCATCGATGACAGTAGATCTGTTTATCAAATATCGAATGGAATGAGGCTTGGCAAATCTGCGCAGCTTCAACCCATACTGGTGATGGACAAGTCATCCTGCACACCTTCCAACTGACCTAGAGATAAATAACACTCCAACCTTCGTCTAAGTACTGAATGGTGCAGGATGACAACTGAGGTACTGACGCTTTCTCACACAACAAGATCGGCACCTTGAAGCAACAATTGTTAGCACTTTTGCGGGGTCAGGGTACGGCATCCAAACACACCTACTCGCAAAGACTTTTGCACCTGCCTGAATAGAGTTCCCTACAGACGAACATCCGACAAAATGGGAAAACAAACATATCATAAAGATCATAAAGCAGGTGTGAGAGAACCAAACCTCTAGACTTATCATACCCATCTCCGAAGCCTCTCCCTGTGCTTTTGGGCATCTGGCGATCAAGCAACGACCGACCGGAAACAAAGCGGTTGAAATTCAGTTGTCCACCTGAGCTCTCCAAGTGGCGTTTGGAGCTCACGCGGTGCACGGATTGGATCGGGCTACTCCCTGCTGGAGTAGGACATGCGGCATAACACGAGGACGGAGGCTGAAGGATCCAGATGTTTCCATTGACTCCGAGACGAAGAACGGCATGCTTTTGGAGCTCAACCGAATGTCCTCAGAGAGTATGCACAGGAAAAAGCCCTGGTTGAGCAACCTTGTTGGACAACCCTATGAAGTGAAAGGGGTTGACCCGTCCGAATTTCCGAAGCACCAGCTATGTCGCTAGGCTTGCGGAAGTGGCATGGTCGGAGACCCCCCCGTTCCGACCCCCGTTCCGACCACCGACCGGTGTTGGGGGTGGTTGCTCTCGAGGGGTCGAACACTGAAGGAACTACCAGCTTCTTGTTACTACTAGTAAGGCACTTGTTACTAGAAGCGATGCA